AGGGTATTCTTTTCAACATTAGGCTGCTCATAGAGTTAGAGCCAATTTTACAATGCAGGTGCACATGGGGCACTCAACGATAGGACAACGCTTAGAAGAAAATAGTCCGATAAATTCGCTCCATATGAGGCGGATACCTAGTAGAAGGGGAAACCAAGAAGCTAGTTGAGATATATCAAAGGTTTTTCGCGCCGAAATGAACGCTTGAAAGAAACTGACAACCTTATCTATTGACTGTTCAAAGTTTGCCCGTCTTGAAGTGGCGGTCACGCCCGCTGTTTTGCACCCTCTGTGCTTTATTTTTGCAGCGAAGAGACGGAGCACGGCTTGAAACCTGTGGCTGCAAGTCATGCAGCGCGCGTAATCAACGGAACGGAGGTCTTAATCCCTAGGTTTCGGGCGATTTTCTTGGTTACTGATACCGTTTCACCACTTTTGGACTTCATCCTTCATGTTTGAGAAGCAAATGAATTAGCAATTGGTCATATCGCAGCTGCTTCAAAGGAATTATGAAATTACGACTTTTATAGTCTAGAAAAGACTGAAACTCTGTTTGTTCCTGTGCCTTGCAGCAGGTGAAACTAGTAGAACTCAGGATCAGGATAGCTGGCAGCAGTTCCGGATATTCTACTATAACTACCCAACCCTACGCCTCTCACCCTCCAGCACGGTTGGGTTGTGTCGCTGTGGTCGCTGAATCTGGTCTCATACAAACACCACCTGAGCCAAGAGATGCGAAGCTCGGTCGCACCATGGGTGATCTGTTGATTTGCAGTCAAGGCCGGGTTTTTTGTGCTTGCTGCAAATGCAAAATTCAAAAACGGTATTCGTCTTAGCTTAGTGATCTGCCAGTATTGAGCCGGGCTATGAGGGGTATACGTAGCTCTTTGACTTCCGCCATGATACTCCCTCCGCCTATATCCTTCCCTGTAGATCGAGAGACCGACGGACGGGAATAGGGTTGGGGTGGGGGAGTCGAGTCAAACCACCTCAATACTTAATGGGTTCTTAGAATAGCCAGAGAAAATGGATAATAATAGCACAACAATCCTTGAAA